ACTACTGGGGTGAGATGGGAGAAAGAGACAGGAGAATCCTCGGGCAGTTTGCTAAACACAGCTGCACAAACAAGAGGTCCTCCCTCAAAAAAGCCAGAAGGAGGTAACTAACTTTATTTCGGAATATCTGTGTGAAGATGTTCGGTTGCCCCCACACCTGTCCAAGGTACCTTCTGATTAGTTTAATAAATAGCTGAATAGCCAACAGCTAGGCAGGAGAGGATAGGCAGGACTTCCAGGGAGACAGCAGAACTCAGGGAAAGAATCTGAGTGGGGCTGATTTGCCTGAAACCAGCAAGAAAGATGTGGAAAAAGTCAGATGTAAAGAACTGAGGACAGGCAATGAGCCACGTGGCAGAATGCAGATGAATATAAATGGGTTAATTTAAGGTTTAAGAGCTAGTTGGGAACAAACCTAAGCTAAGGCCAAGGTTTCATAATTAATAAAAAAGACTCTGTGTCATTATTTGGGAGCTGTCAGTCCAAAGAAATACCTGTTATGCAACTCCTAGAAAAGTTGTCCTCTAATGTCCACACATGCACTGCGGCATGTATGTGCCCACCCTACCCATGGTAAAACAAAATAAAAACTCAATAAAGAAAAAGGAGGTTAGGTGGGAAAATGGCCATCCATCCAGATAATTTCATTATAGCATGCTTGAAGTGTTAGCCATGTTATCATTAAGTTTAAGGATGCTACAACTTTCTTATATAGGAAAAAAAAATCTTTCCCAGAATGCAGTACTATATTTTATACAAATATATGTGTATAGATTTACATATTTATTTATGGCAAGTGAGTATGCCTACATGCATATATGCATGCACACAGAAGCACATGTCTGTTAGTTCTATGAAACACGGGCTCTGATGATGCCAATACCAATTATTCATGTTTACACAGGTGGACATAAGCTCTCTTTTCTTTGTCAGAACTTAAGTAGATGACACAGTAGTAATAGAAATGCAATGGTCATGTGGATGGACAGAAATATTCTACAAGGACCATAAGTGCCTGGGCATTCTCCAATCAACACTGACAGTCATTCCCTTGCCCGAGGCTTGGCTTCCATCAGATATAACAGTTCCGTTTCTGGGATGACAGTGACAGGTGCCAATTTCTGTCAGGAGATCGTATGAATGCAGACCATCATCTCCCCCAGAGTCTTGGGATGGTAATTTTAGTCGTCCTTTTTAAGTGAAGTTCCTTGTTGCCTGAAAAGTATCATATACCTATAAATGAGCCAGTCCTCCCTCAAAAGATTAACAGGCTGCCCAGGCCCAAAAGTTTGGCTGGGGTGGAATCAAAATGAAAACGAATCAATAACCTCATATTCCTGAAAGTGATATCCGTAGGCTTGTTCATGCTCTGCCCATCTGGGAATAGCCTTGACTGTGGCTAAAAACCAGGCAGATATCCTATCAAAATGTCAGAGTCGGTGGACATAAAGAGATTAGGGGGTTGGAGGGGGGTATAGGAGGGAACTGGGATTGATATGTAAAATAAGATTGTTTCTAATTTAAATAAAAAGAAAAAAAGAAGAAGAAAAGAGATTAAACTTTACTGGAGAATTTTTTATGGGGCGGGGAATTTTATCAAGCGGAGTGAGAGCACATATAAGTTAAGCAGCTATTCTGTGGAGACACCAGTGTTAGAATTCAGGTTGCTCTGGGTCCAAAGACCATTCTCTCTGTCCTGATGTCAGAAGGCCTTCTTTTGCAATCAGAGCCAGCTGCACCAGAACGATGCATTTGACTCACACAGGAGCCCTGCAGACCCATATTTAAAGTTTATTGATGAGCAATTCCAATCAGTCTGCACATGGCCTTACAATCTGCTTCAAACAAACAACACCTGGGCAGAGAGGGTGGCTTCTGCATAGAAACAAAAGAACTCGAACTTGGTGAAGATGAAGACACAGATGGGCACATCCAGGTCAGTGAGATACCTGGCTGAGCCTCCATTCTAGAGAGGAAGCCTAATGATCCCTGCAAAATCCCCTGCAACTGTTAAATGATGGCTGCTCATAACAAATTTGTTCAATAGGCGCCCTACAAAAAGGTAGGAACATATAAATGAGAAATAACATGGATTTAATGGTTAGACTAAAATCTATCTTACTGCTTTTACACTCTCAGAGAGACCTAACTCATAGCAAGCATTCTACCCTTCTAGGAGGCAGGGGCTGGGATAGTGTTAAATTTTATTATTTTTACTCTTTGACCTTCCAATCTACAGAAGATCACTACTTGTTCTTAGAAGCAAGTTCTGCTATTTTAAAATGGACAAAGTGTAACATTCTACCTAAGTCAACATCTGTTTAAAATGTCCTTCTTGTCACCTCTCACCAGATGACCTTAAAACAAGGAAGGCAGTGTGATGCAGTCCAATGTGTGTGTGTGTGTGTGGGGGGGGGTGGTTGGAGCCAGATAACACTGGGTCTGTATCTGGATGCTGCAGTTTGATGGAGGGTAACCCTGCTGAGTTTAGCCTCTTCTGACAGTCTCTTCTGCTGCAGTGATGTGACAATGATACCCATCTATGCCCTTTGGAAAAAAATCTGTCTTCTCTGTTTCACTTTCCTCCTACATCATGACTAAGGTCAATGAAAAGTACTGATGTATTTCCAGAACACACTTTGTGCTGTTTTCTGAGTAGAGCAAAGGAGGCTGGGCAAATGTCCACTCTTTCTACTCCTTCCAGAGGAGCTGAGCTAGACTTTGGAGTGGCCAGGGCTTGCTGGCTTTTTAGTTCCTCTCCTTATATGCTCTACTCTTTTTGTAGTGGAAGTCCAGCTTAAAAGCTTCCATTTTCCAAGGGCAGGCGGCTCATCTAGTTGGGGACCAGGCAGGGAGATAAACTGATTCAGTGGCTAGTCATATCTGACTCTGTTTTAGCCCATGTTATGGGAGCTCTGCCATTACTATCTTTTTCTCACAGAGCATCAGTGAGGACCTGCCACTCATGTATGGGTAGGACATACTGACAGACAGCTCAGCTTAGGTGAAAGAACACTCTACAGGCTGCAGACTTGGACACTTTCAAAGGCCTCTGGATGCAGAATTCCAGTTTTTCTTCTTTGGGTCATGACTTTCCCTGTGGGATCCTTTCGGAGGCACAGCTGAGGGTGAGATGAAGCTTGTCATCAATATGACACCATGATGGCATGATGTCATAAACATAACACCCTGTGGTATTTACCTTCCACATTATTAAGAGGATTAAATAATATAACACATGGACAATTACATGTAGTGTCCTCCTGGCCACTGAGCATTAGCTGGTCTAATGCAAATTACAATATGGTGTTTCCTTTTTCTACCATCTATACAGCACAAGGTAGAAACTCTTCTAGAAAGCAGACAGTAGGTTCGTCTCCAGAAGGGGAATGATTCTGGAAGTGAGCAGTGTATTGCTGAGTGTGATCTACACATGGGATTCCAAGACTTGCCTCTACTTCATGCAATAAACCACATTCCTGCCTTATCACCCACCAAACAGAACAAGAAAAAAAAAAAAAAAAAAAAAAAAAAAAAAAAAAAAACAAGCCTTGAAAATGCTGCCATTCTTCCAAACTTAGAAGTTGCCATCTTTTTAAGATGATGGTTTGCAGGCTTTGTGCTTTCTCGACATGGTGGTTGTGCCATAACGAAAAATAATGCTATGTAGTTATTAGTCACTTCCTGGATTCAGGGTGCATGGTAAATAGACAACATCAGCAACTCTACCATGGCAACATAGTCTCCTTGTCTGAAGAGAAACTGAAGTTAAGAGAGATATAGGGCTGGGAGGTGATGGTGCACTCCTTTAATCCCAGCACTCAGGAGGCAGTGGCAGATCTCTGTGAGTTTGAGACCAGCCTGGTCGGTTTACAGAGCTAGTTCCAGGACATGCAGAGCTACACACAGAGAAACTGAAAACTGTATCTCAAGAGAGAGGGTGGAGGTGGTGGTGGTGGGGCCTATGTAGAGGCACAAGGTTTGGGGAAGTAAAATCTGCATATTGCTTGGAAAGGATGTACACATTTGAAAGGGCAGCAAGGGCACTTCTCTTGTAGAACTTGCCAAACGGATGTACAAGGGGTTTTCTAGAAATCCCAGCCTGGAGGTGGGTTTCCCCTTGCAACTCTCATAACACTGGTTCTGACTTCAAAGGGTTTATTCAGAACATGGTAGAAACATAAGAGCCCATTGTATTCAGGGAAAAACCATCCAGTCTAGCAGTTTTTTCCTGCTGAGGCATTCAAGGCCTCTGTGACGGACAATCTAGTGCAATAGAAAGGTCTTGCCCAGGAGACACTGATTCTGATTCTGGCTTGGTAACACCAGCTGTGGATTTGTGGGCAACAAGTCAAGCCTCTGATTTCCTTCATCTACACATTAAGGAGAGAGCTAGGGTGGCACACGTATCCTAAAAGTTACTGTTACCACACTGGGTCCGGGCTGTTCAGATATTGTCCTACTTATATCTTAGGTTATTTAGTACCTGGCATTTCCTATGACCATACGAATTGCATAACATCAGGTATGCAGTCTATATATTTCACGGCTAATGGTCATGAATACTGTAGGCAAACAAAAATGACCAAACATTGTTTTCAGAATGAATGATCTGTGTACACTGTACAGCATTTAAAGGTAGTACTGCTGTTAGAATTGTTTTAGGGCATGACCAATTACTTAGATATTGACTTTTCAAGAATGGTAATGATATCATCCTGCACATTGAATTCAGACAGGCAACATTCAAGTTCAAACCATGATTCTGTTCCAGTTTTTTGTTCTTTCCCTAGAAATTGTTGCCAGGGTTTTCCCCCCTCCAGTGACATCTGATATCAGCATTTAAATCACATGAAATGAAGATGGTGAGGCTTCATTTCTTGTTTCTAATTTTTGTAACCTCCAAGAGGGTTTCTTGGTTTTGCTGATTATTCTGCAACTTCCAGGTTCTCTCCAGATGTGAGCAAAATTGCTTACTTGGTTGAGGGGCGTGGACTTACTTGATGAAGTACTTGATTCCGTCTGCTGTGTAAGCTTCCTCCCATCCATAAGGTAAGCCTGGAGTGAAAGGAAACCAAAAATACACCTAATAAGATGAGGAAGATAACTTTATTTTATGGACACAAACCTCCCCCATGTTGACAATTATCTGAGTGCATTTCTTGCACGAAATTATTTTCTTGAAAGGCAGAATTAAGACAATTCAGATGAGCGCTGTTTCTCAGCGTCTTTACAACGCAATGAATAAAGTTTCGAACAGTTAACAATCTGCTTTAGTTGCAATAATTGGATTATGACTTATCATTTACATGTGGTGAATGTTTTTGTCAGCAGGATTCACACAAAAATTTGTGTTTGCAGAGGACAGCTTTTTGCCTAGAGGCAGGAGGATGGACAAGATGGCCTCTGCTTGTCTATTCTGGCTTAAAGTTTCTTTAATTGGCTTCCTTTGCATTCTTTCACTCAGCTCCACAGGGAATCCGGCATGAGTGCCAGATCAGCAGGGGTTGGAAAGTAGCTTTTGGACAAGACAAGACTCCTTATTAAGTTTGAAAGTTTAGCAAAGTGATTTACAATGGATGGTGGCATTTTACTTTGTTAATTAAGAATTTTGTGCACTAAACATAAAAGGCCAAACAGTTTGCTAAACTTAGCTTCCATTTCTGTAATGGGATTGAGAATAGTTAGCTAAAAAGAGATATGGAATGAAGTAAGCAGGCAACATAGGGGCATATCCTATGCAGGAGTTCTGCTCTCTGTCTATATGTCTGTATGTATGTCTCCATATTTATTATCCATTTACTGACGTTTCTACCCACAGCTTATGCATATACTTATAAGTGCTCTACTACTAAAATACAACATCTTCTTTTTAGAGACAAGGTTAGACTTGAACTAATTCTGTAGCCTAGGTTGGCCTTAAATATGAGATCCTTCTACCACAGTCTCCTTACTGGTTGAAATCATAGGTCTGTGCTACCATATTCTTACATTCAGATTGTGGGTGACATCTCTTTAGACTGCAATGGTTCCTACCCATTCTGTTCTATCACTGGATTGTATCTTATGTATTGCTAAGAAATTTAACTGACCTTTTCAATAAGCTCTATGCCATTGGGTTATCACAGCTCTTTGGATATGTACAAGATAAATTAATACATTGGAAAAAAGGTTGCATTGCTCAGGTAGCCTACTGTTGCAGAATGTACTGAGTTAACAACAAATACTTGACTTATATCCCTCAAAATATTAGCAAGGGGGAGAGTAAACATGTAGGGAAACTTAACATTACCATTTAATTCTTAGAGACTATATTTCTTTGAGAAGAAGCTACTATTCTTTGCTTGTGTGTGTATGTATGTGTGTTTAAGAAAAACCAACAAAAGACTTTATATTGATTCCAGTCTTCTGGCCAACATTTTATAGCTACCTTTTTTGTACATCAATAAGGCTACTGTGGGGTCTCTACACTGTCTTCATGAATGTATGTTCCTACTTTTAGTAGTAGTCAGGGTTTCTGAGAACTCAGTATAGGCAAAGCTCTGGAAGTAACATTCTGTAACACAGGAAATGACACCCTGTACATGTGTTCTTTCATATCCACTACTCAGTCATTATACATGGTTGCTGTCCTACAAGACGGAGTTGATTTATTTCCTGCCTTTACACTTTCTGCATATTTTTAAATAGCTAATTTCATCTGACAGTGATGAGCCCTTTACCTACAGGGCAGCATGATGACTGTAAGGACCTTGCTTGTATGACAACACTTGGATTAGTTTTTGGGTAAAATAGCAAAGACTGGGGAAGTGGAAAGTGGTTGTAATGTGACTAAGGTTGTCATTTGCTAGGTGAACTGTTTGACTGGCACAATTTCTTCTATCTGTTCTCCCAGTTCTTCAAGTCACAGGTATTTTTTTTTTAATAAAGTAGAAGAAAGAGGTACAATTCAATGATAGTCCTTTTTATTAAAGAGTTTTTTTTTTGTGTGTGTGTGTGTGTGTGTGTGTGTGTGTGTGTGCGTGCAAGATGTATGTGTGTGGGGGCTTGTACACATAGCACATGTTGGGGGGTCAGAGGCCAGCTTTGTAGAATTATCTCCTTCCATCTTTATGTGGGTTCTAGAGGCTAAATTCAGGCTATCAAACTTGCAGGGGAAACCCTTATACCACCTTCTCAGCCCCAACATTGTATCTTTCAATTATGAAGTCAATTTAAAATTGTGTTCTCGGGGAATTCAGTTCCCAAGCCCTAAAGACGACATTTATACCACCTCATTAAGACTCAAAGAATATTGGAGAAAGGGGGTAGAAACAATGTAAGAGCTGAAAGGTAGGGAGAGGAGCCACAAAGAGTCATTTTCTGGGAAAGACATAACCATTACAGCAAGAAACTCATGGCAGCTGTGGACACTTGCACTGGGTCTGCATGAGAAAGGTCTCTCTACAGTTAGATGGAGGTGGGGCTAGGAAATACTACCCTTCATTGTTGAGCTATTTGCTAAAGGTAGTTGGTGGGGGTTGGGAGGTTGGGTGGGTGGGTGGGGTGTCACTGCCTTCTGTTGTATACCTGATGACCCTATTTGTTTCGAGTGGATAATTTTAATTCAATGATAATACAGAAGACCCCAGTTAAACAAAACATTATGATTATAAGACAGCAACTCTAGGGAATGGGGAAGGGTACTGATAATTTAAGAGGAAAGCAATAAAATAGTGTGGGGAGAGAGAAACCAGAATTCAGTTTATACATGTATAGAATTGTCACAGAACAGAACCAATAAAAATAAAACTGATAAATTCTCTGCCCTGAAAAAAGTAAGGGCTTATATCTTAGAAGATCAAAGTTTCTTACTTTTTATAGACTTAACATTAGCTGTAAACAGAACTGTAGGTAGACTAAGCTGATGGAAATTAATCTCCCTGAGATATATCAGTAATAGAAACACAATCATTGTCTAATTTAAAGACAGACATGCCAAAAGCCTACTTCATGTAAAAGAGTTCTTTTGGTATTCACAAGTATATATGTTTATGATATACTTGGTTTTCCAATGATTAATGATTTTATTTCTTCACAATAATGATTTGGAAGTGATTATAACAAAATATCAATCCTTTGAAAGAATCATTATTGTTACAAATAAGGAAATAGTTGTATAGTTTCAAAATCTTTACATATTTGTAAATACAGAATGCTTCCAATTTTTCCTTTTCATATATTTTTTTTTGAAAAAGAACCATTATTGACAACTCTAAATACCTGCAATTCTTTCTGATTGGAAGTGTTTGTCTATAAGTCCTTACATAACATTCCCCCCCCCCCAGAGATCATCTGTTTCTAATCAAAAACTTCATGGTGATGACTCCAATCTGCGTGAGTATCTTGCCAGAGTGAAAGTCTGGAACATATTGAACTTAGAATCCTGGCTGTCACCTAAAACTCAACATATCCAAATTCAAACTCATCATGTTTCCACACAAAATGACTTCTTTTCTGTTTCCCCAGTCTATTCACCACCACAGATTCCCTTTGTTATGTTTGCCCCAAATACCAATTTATCAAACATTTATTGATTATCATGTGATCAGATGTTTGCTCTGGTGTTCAATATATAACAACGAAAAATAAACATGGCCCTTAACCTCAGAGAGCTTTAAAATAAGGATGAGGATGTAATAGACTGTTTGCCTAGCACCCACGAAACCTGGTTCTCATTACCAGCACTGCATACATAGAGACTGCATGTGGCAGTACACACCTGTAATCCCAACACTGGGGAGATGGAGACAAGAGAAACAGGGGTTCAAAGTCATGCATGGCAGCAAAGGGAATTTGAAGAGTCAGCTTATATGAGACCATGTCTCAAATATAAACAAAAATCCTCATAAAAGAACAAAATCACAAAACCAAAACCCCACTCCCCAGTCATAAACAAGCACATTAACAAATATAAGCTCAAGTAGTATGAAGAACATAGGGTAGCGTTGATGGGAGATGTCATTCTGTATATGTTTCTCATACTGGTTAATAAATAAAGCACTGTTGGCCAATAGGAAAGGAAGATAGGAGGGACTAGGAGACAAGGAGGAAATAGGAAGGAGCCAAGATGGAGAGTCTGGAGAGAGCAGTACACAGCAGCCGGCTCTGGGTAAGAAGACCACATGAAAATACATAGATCAGCAGAAATGGGTTAATACTTAAGACAAAGCTAGCCAATAAGAAACTAGTACCTGGCCAACAGTATAATATCAAATACAGAGTCTCTGTGTATTATTTGGGGCTGGCGCGGCAGCAGGACAAGACCAGCGGTGCTGGCAAGAAAAACCATACTCTTTCATAGCGTTGGAGAGGAGAGCACCTCAGCACAGACAGAACTAGCTGGAGCTTAGAGGAAGAACTGCGAGCCAGTGAGAAAAGGTCACCAGGGCTCTCCAAGAGACTACAGCTGCAGGCTCAGACCTGGGGAAGAACACATACTCTAGGGAGCTGGAACCCGGTCATGAGGCCTTGAGGTGATAGGCTGCCACTTTGAGAACTGAGGGAACTGTTTCCTCCGAACAAGTGAAAGATTCTGCTGGAAACATTATTACACAGAGATCTGCAGGCTGTAGCAGGATTGGGACTCAGCTCTCCTCTAGTCTCGTATCCTCTCCTCTCTTCCCCTCCCTTCCCTCCTTTCCTCCTCTCCCTCCTCCTTTCCTTCCCTGCCCCCTCCTTCCCTCTCCCCTCCCTTCCTCATGCTCCCCCTTTTTGAGACAGGGCTTCAAAGCCTCAGCTATGAAGGGAAGATGACATTGAACTAGAAGTTCCCTAACAAGAGAAGATCTGCTTCCATTAAGGATGAAGAAGCTGCAGTCCATTATATTATACTTGGGGAAAGGACACATAATCTAAAAAACTTTTTGTTGTTTTGAGATCCACAGAGCCCATGTTTTTTTTTTTTTTTTTTTTCCTGACTGAATTCAAGGGAAAGTAAGCCCTGCAAGGAGAGAAGGTGCACACTCTTTCTTGGCAGAGCACAGGAGAGGAAATACTGTCGGATACACAGCCAAGAA